GCACAGAGCTTCCCTGGAAGTGAGGCCTGGCTAAGGTCAGTGTGGTGACAGGGGAGATCACACTTATAACAGAGGTGGGAGCAACCTCACAGTCAACAGCAAAAACCGAGGGGCCCAGCAATGTCCAGGAAAGTCAGTGTCCACCTGAGCTTCTGAGGGATGGGCACTAGGCACAGCCCCTGGTCCACCTCCAGTGGAGACTTGGAATGATCCGCTCATGCTGGGAATGGCTGCCACCAGGAAAGCCAGTTCAGCAAGCAAAGCTAAGCTGAGAGATTACGCTGGCAAAGAAGTGAAGCAATGATCCCTTTTGACATCCTGGCCACTTTATCGCTTATGTCGACAGCAGAGCAAAAGGGTAGCTCAAAGGGCTAGCACTCGATGGCCCTGATGGGGCACCACCAGCACAAAAGAGTGGGGATGAATAAGAAGAGGACCTGGGAGAGGTATCCCTCAGTGGTGAGGAGTTTCAAGGTGGCAAAAGCAGCATGCAGTGCTCAGGGCCACCCAAGGTCAGCAGAGGACAGAGAAGGGACCCTTGAACGGAGCCATCTGAAGATCACTGGCCGGTGGGAAATGGAGGTGAGGAGGAGGTCGTGGGAGACTGTAGGCCTGAGGCAGGAAGGTCAAGGTCAAAGGATGGGATTCTCCTCTGGAGACTAACAAAATTAGGGTGGGAACCGTGTAAACGAAAGAGCCCAAAGACTGTTTTTGATTGAAAATGAGGATATTTTAGTATTTCTTGGGTAGAGGGAGAAAAGCTGGGATGGTTAGGGGTGGGAGGGGAGACCTTTCCCTAGGTCATTCACCTTTAGGTCCCGAAGGGTGGAGCGAGGGTTGGAGACCTAGGAACATTCTTCAGGGGCCACACTTTTCTCCATGATGCTCCCTTGATGCTTGACCTGGCAGCTTATTCTGTTATGAGATTTCCAGCGATCAGGTGTTAGGGTCAGGTAACTTTGCTGGCCATGTAATTTTGCTGCTTTCTTTGGGGGGCTGGTTGGTCTCCACATTCCGGGTGACAGGAATGCTGTCTGTCTTCTAGGCCACCATCACGGTGCCGGAAGTCATTCACCAGACACACCAGTGTGGCCTTGTTGGCGGGGAGCTGGTTGGCCTGCTCAGAGGAGGGCAGAAACAAACTAACTGAAGGGGTGATCTTGGGTTTAAAAAAAAAAAGGCTGCAGATTAAAAGCCTGGTGTCTACCATGGAGCTTCTGACCTCAGGCTTGAAGTGGAAGACTTGTGCTCCAGACGAGAGACTTCAGCTCAGACTTACTGCACAGAGGTCAGAGCAGCAGTGGGAAGAGACAAGTGACTCCTGATGGAACACTTCCCATTTCCGCCTTATGGGGAGTCGTGGGCTTAGTCTTTGTGTCTCATCAGTGCTGCTCTGGGCAGCAAAGTCAAAATCCCCCAAGCACATCAAGTATTTATTGAATACAAGCATGGGAAGGAAAATAGAGCAGGCTATTCTTTGAAGGCATCTAGTGTGGATGATGGCGCCAGGCAGGGATATAAGGGAGAAAGCACTGCTTATCTTGCTTAGATAGAACAAACCAGTACTCCCCAAAACTGTCCCTTCCACAAGCCCTTCCCTAGGGGTTCCCTGGTTGATCTTCTTCCTGTCTTCTGTGTCACTCTACCTTCAGAGGAAACATTTATTCCTGTCCAGTGTAAGAGTCCTACTTTGGAGGCAGACCCTGGCTGCTGTTTGCTCCTGATTTCACAGGGGCCTCACTGCAGTCCGTGGCAACCTGGGCCATCTGGAGAGATGTCCACCCTGACAAGATTGTATATTGTGTGCATTTTGTGTGTGAAGGTTTGTGTTTGTCCATGTGTACATATGAGTACTTGTGCGTGTGTGTGTGTGTGTGTGTGTGTGTGTGTGTGTGTGTGATAGCTTGAATTCTATATCAAGCTGTTAGGAACAACTGAATACCCTACCAGTAATGCCACAAGGGTGCCCCGTAGGGCTCAGGTCAGTGACCCCAGGGATGCAGGAGCAGGATGGGCCTTGAGGGAAGAGAGGGGGTTATAAGGTGTCAGCACAGGGATCAATAGGTGTGGGAAATGAAACAAATAAGACTTGAACCGGGGGAAGAGACTGGAGGACGTATTGAGAGAGTGTTGTCCAAACTGTGAAAGTTGAGGGGAGGGAGCACAGACATTCACCTGAAGGTTTTGAGGATCCGCAGAGAGATAGATACTGGGCAGTGAGAAATGGATGTGCCCACGTGAGAGCACAGGGAGGAAGAGAGATGAGGGAACACAAGCGGTCCCATTTCTGTCAAGGGCTATTCCCTTGCTCTAGAATGTTGTGCAGGGTTAGGGGAGAGTGAAAGTGTAACTCAGGGAACGGTAAGGAGTCTTTTCCCATTGCTTTTTCTCAAGTTCCAAGAATTAGATTACATATTTGGAGCTAGTCAAATTTAGGATAGTAGAAGGGTAAATAAAAATGAGGAAAGACCATGTTCTGATTGAAAATAAATATATTTTATTGAGTATTCATTGGGTTCTGGGAGAAGGACTGGGATGCTGGGGTGGGAGGGAAGTTCTCACTCCAGGATTCTTCAGCTCCTGTTCTGTTCCTGGGGGTTGAATGAGAATCAGATACTTAGGAACACTATGCAGGGGCCATGTTCTTCACCAGGGTGCTTCCTTCATGCATAAACTGGCAGGTGTAGCTGTTAGAAGGGTTTCATTGGTCTGGCATCAGGATCAGCTTGATACTGGGCATGTACTGGTTGTTGCTTTGTTTTGAGGACTGGGTGGTCTCAATGCCCTGGGAGAGGATATATACCTTGAAGGCCACGATCATGGCTCCTGGGCAAAAGTCTCTTATCAGAAACACCAGTGTGGCCTGTTGGCCAGGACCTGTGGTACAGACTGGTGCAAAAACCTCTCCTGGCATTGCCCCTCCCCGACCCCAGCTGCAGCTGTGCTGGGTGCAGCCCTCTTGGACCTGAGTCCCGCATGACGGTGAGGAACCCTCCCTGGAAGATGCCCCATGCGCACGGTGCCTGTCTTGGAAGAAGCCATTGTCCTAGTTAAAGAAGGGCCTCCTTGAAAGTCCCCTGTACCCTCTTCATCCTCTCTATGGAGGAAGAGCCAGCTGGAAGGCCAAGCAGAAGCAGAGAGAAGCCCTCAGTGACAGTTCTCTGAGGCTGGAGGCTGTACAGTGACCCTGGAAGTTCCCAGGACCAGCACCTTAGCGCCTGGAGGTCCCAGCTGGGAAGTAACAAAAGCGTAGTCTGGGTATCTAGCAGGAGACATCAGTCTGAGAACACATGCAGCAAATCCAACTGGAAACCTCATTTTATCCTCTCACCCAGGAAGGAGCATCCACAAATAAATGACACTGCAAGTCCAGCTGGGTGAAGAAACTCGGGACACGTGTGAGGGGTTTTCTGAGCCTGGATTATTTAGCTACTCAGTCATTATCGGTAGTTAGTCCTCACGTTTGATGATCCCATTGCTGCGATATCCTCACCTTTCCAGGATGGAAGGGAAATATTTGCAGATAGAAAGAGGAGATGTCTGGAAGTTTCTTCGACGTATCAAGTGAAGGAGGAGCCATTGTAGTGTGGGTGGATTTGAATGAGCCACGGACTCATCATGACTTTGAGGCTGCTGATGGCCCCATAGAAACCATTGTTATTCCCGTGTCTTGTGTTGAAAATTCTCCAATATAAAAACTTAAGAGGCCAGAAAGAGGAAATGTGTCTTGGGTCAGGACCTGAGGGTGGGATGGGTCCTGGTTTGTTCCCAAGTGGGCTGTTGAGTGGTCTTTTGTGGTCTGAGCTCCCACCCAGGAGATGGGGCCATGGGGTTTCTGTGGGACATTAGAACAGCTCAGGTGCTTTCTGATTCCAAGGCTGGGGATTGGGACCTCGAGGCCATCATTTACTTTGAAGCAGATCTGTTGAAATGTTAGAAATGCTTCTCACCTGGCCCCAAGTGCAGTCCTGTGTCCAGTCCTGAATCTCACACAGGCTCCTCACAACAGTCTGTGGATGCCCATTCTGTGACAAGAGTGGTGTCTTTTCTCATTTACCCAAATTCCCCCTTGCCTTCCTTGTCATGCAGACCGATCACCTGGCTGTAGCCATGAACTCCGTGCTACATTATCTCCACCCTGCAGACTGAGTTTTGGGGTCTAGTCCTTAATGGCTGAGATCACAGCTTCACGGTATTGGCACCTTTGAATCTGACCCTGATCCACACCCATCTGCACACATAGAGATCACCTCTGTGTGCCTCCACGTCAGCCCATGTTCCCCCGAGTAGCTGCGTGAAACCCCGGTCTCCTCCCATGGTGAAAGCCTGAGAAATGCCCTTGCAGCTTCCATTTTCCATGCCTTCCTATGACAAATCTCCTTCTTACAGGATCACTCAGGGAAAGGCAGAAAGACAAGCCCTGTGTCTGCAGAAACCTTGGCGTTGGTGCAACCACCTTCCCTCCCCATTTCTGCCTCTTCCCTGAACCTGGACTCCTGAGACCCCCTCTGCCTTCTTTTCTCTCCACTTCTCCACTATGGCCAGCTGCCTTCTCGCCCGCCCTCCATACCTTGGCCGCTCTGCTGGGACAATTTCCTGTGCTGGATCACGGTCTCACCAGCTCAGGGAACCCCCAGAGAATGGGGTGCACGGGTGACTGGGAGGTGGCATCTCACAGTGGCAGCGTCTCTGCCCCTGAGCAATGACCTTTCAGAACTGAGGAGCGACCCTCTACCTAGGGCACATCGGACCTGTTGGATGCTTAGGTCCTCGGGAAGGAGATAAGAATCAAGGAGCGTAGAAGACATGCCTGGTGTGGGTTTGCACAGCGGGTGTCTCAGGGTACAGTGGAGTTTTTGGGAGGAGGGTGCCCAGCTGAGCCCTCTCTAGGCCGATGCACCATGGAATGTTCTCAGAGGCACCCAGTCTCCCCCAGGAGAGCCCTGAGGAGTTTGAAAACGCAATAATGGGTGAAACACAGGAGGCAAACAGAGTTTCTGATTGAGAGGGGATATTTTATTGAGCATTTATGGGTTCAGAGAGCAAGGCAGGAATGGGTGGGTGGGGTCGGGAAGGGGACTCTTCCCCGGGGTCCCCGTGCTTTAGTCCCCCAAGGATGGCGTGATGGTCAGGTGCTAGGAACACTCCGCAGGGGCCAGACTCTTCTCCACTGTGCTGCCTTCATGTGTGACGTGGCAGCCGACTCTTGTGTGCGAACGCCACTGGTCTGCAGTCAGGCTCAGGTAGCTGCTGGCCATGTACTTGTTGTTGCTCTGTTTGGTGGCCTGCGTGGTCTGCACTCCCTGGGTGACGTCTTTGCCATCTGCTTTCCAGGCCACCGTCACAACGCCCGGGTAGAAGTCATTGATGAGACACACCACTGTGGCCTTGTCTGTCCCGAGCTCCTCAGTGGAAGGTGGGAACAGGGTGACTGAGGGGCTGGCCTTGGGCTGACCTACAATGTGGACAGGCAGATGAAGTCAGAGAACTTGTGTCCATCCTGGAGTCCTGAATGTCAGGGTGTCCCCATCCGTGATGCAGAGGCCCAACTGGTCAATTCCTGAAACTACTCCCCTCGTCCCTGGGGTGCATAGGATTGGACAGCTGTGCCTCACATCTTCTGAGACTTCCCCGGGCTTTGGCCTCCCACACAGGCCTCCTGACCTCGTCCCCACCCCATCCCGCTGTGTTCTGACATCTCCTCAGTTCTGCGAGTAGTCTCTGCCTGGCTGTCCTCTGAGCTCGCTGAAGTCCTGTGTGCTCCACTCTGGCGACGGCTCTAAGCTTGCACCTCTGCTCTGCTGGGCCTGGTTTGTCACCTAAGCAGTCTGTTCCTGGCAGTCTGTCTCCCCGGGAGGCTCTGCAGTGGGGCAAGGGCCTCGCTCATCACGGTGTCTGTCTGTCTGGCAGAGGCTCTGTCCTTCTCAGAGCATGGCCGGGTCCCCCCCCATGGCAGACCCGTGGATCTCACACAGTGCACCCCCTCATCTGTGGACTCGTGATCTGGTTCTTGCGAGAAGTGGCCCTCACAGAGACCCAGGAGCTCACTTCCCCAGTGTAGCCTTTAATCAGATCAACCCTGTCTTGGTCCCCTTATGTCCAGAGGTGTCTCCCTTCTTTCTTCCAAGTTTCCCAACTCCCAGGTTGGCTCACAGATATGAGGCTGGCCTTCCATGGAGGCTTGGGGATCACTTCCACCTCTCACCTACTTCCTGCCAGCTGGTGGAACTTACTTAAACCTGGAACCTGTGACTTCCTGGCCTTGCCCCTAGTGCTCTAGTTCTGACTAATTTCACCAGTTTTCACAAACTCTGTGGTCCCTTTTCCTGCTTCTTACATGACAGGGCCTCAGTTTTCACCCACCCAAAGCTCATCACACAGAGACAGACACATACACAGATACGCAGTCAGATGGACAGAGGGACAGACAGACAGGCAGAAGGAAAATGGAGGAGGTAGGGGTAAAAGTGCATTATTGTGATACTCACCCACTGAGACACACACACACATACATACACAGAGAGAGAGAGAGAGAGAGAGAGAGAGAGAGAGAGAGAGAGAGAGAGAGAGAGGGAGAGATCCAGACAAACGGGAAAAAAGAGAGACACAGGCAGGCAGATGAGCTTTAGCAGGTCATCCTGGGTTTGTCTCGGCCTCTGGGGTCAGAGGTGAAGGATTGCTGCTTACCACCTAAGGCAAGCATGAAGGTCTGAACGGGAAGAGAAGAGGTCAGCACTCACAGCCTCAATGCAGGGAAAAGTCTGACCCCAGGCTGAGACACAGTGCAGAAAAAGCCCAAACAATGGCAGAAAATCGTCTGAAATCCCGAGTAGAAGCAAGAGAGCGGGAGAAGGAGCCACTTACCTAGGACGGTCAGCTTGGTCCCTCCACCGAACACCCAACACTGTGGTACACACTGGTGCAAAAACCTCTCCTGGCATTGCCCCTCCCCGACCCCAGCTGCAGCTGTGCTGGGTGCAGCCCTCGTGGACCTGAGTGTCCCGCATGACGGTGAGGAACCCTCCCTGGAAGATGCCCCATGTGCACGGTGCCTGTCTTGGAAGAAGCCATTGTCCTAGTTAAAGAAGGGCCTCCTTGAAAGTCCCCTGTACCCTCTTCATCCTCTCTATAGAGGAAGAGCCAGCTGGAAGGCCAAGCAGAAGCAGAGAGAAGCCCTCAG